ACTGTAATGTCAATATTTATAATTTCAATTATTCCAATGGTGAAATTTGGGGTTTAGTGACCAGATATTACCCAATTTAAAGAAGGGAAAAAAAGGTTAAATAAGGCTTTTTTTTGGGGGGGGGGGAAGGGGCTTCAGGGCCACACTTAGTGGTGCTTTTGGAATTCTTCTGGCTCTGTGCTAGGGATCACTCCTCTTAGTGGTGTTTGGGGAGGATCTTGAGTTTCTTGATTATAAGTGCTCAGCCCTTACAGCAATCTCTCTGAATCACAATATCTTAAGCTCACATACACAACATATTATGTGTCTTACATCCTTACAGTCATATCAAAACAAACAAATAAAACCCAACCATGTCAATTGCGTATAAACACCCTCATTCCAGATATGAGAGAGCTGAAACACAAAGAATTAGCAGCTTTTCCATAATCTCAGAGGTGGTAATTGATGAGAAAGAGGCTTTGCTTTAAATCTGAACTCAAAACTTATAGTTATTCCACATCACCAAAATGTGGCCTCAGGTCACATCAGTGATAGTAAATGGTAACCAAACCAAACCTTCATCTTAGACCCCAGTATGATTTCTATGTTGTCATAAGTCAGTAAGAAAAAAAGATAGTCATTGAAATAAGGGATGCTGAAATATGACATTTTTCCTTAGTACACAATGGCCTCTGTCAAACACTTGGAAAATAAATTAGGTCGTGGTCTTTCTGGAATAGTTAGTGGAAAGATAGAGGATTGAGGTTCATCAGTGGCTTTCAAACTCTTTCAAGACAACTAATTTTATGAACAAGAAAACCACATAAAGTGCTTTACCACTTGTGTTTATGGGAATTGTCTCTAAGGAAATCGTTCTGGGGTCCAAGACAAGGATGCTTAGGGGTATTGCCAGTAATTCTCTGTGTGATCTTAGGCAACTCACACCCTCTTTTTCAGCCTCAATATCCTCAAGAGGAAACAAGAAAGGTGAACATTTCAGACATGGCACATTAGCACATCCACACAGAATTGTGAATGCTGTTTCTGGTTCTTCATGCAACTTTCAAAGATCACGCATAGACCTCCAAAAAATAACTGATTTTTTTATTTAAAACATTTGGAATATATGATACTGGGAAAACAGTCATGTTTACAAAAACCCCTGATCTTTTAGAGATAAAACCTGAAATGTTTTTGGGGTGAAATGAATTGATGCCTATGATTTTCTTGAAGATAATCATTGTGTGTGTGGGAAAGGGTGGAAGCTATGGTAGGTATAACAGGTAAAACAAGACTGTCTATAAATTGATAACTGCTGAATCAAAAAATTTAAGAATATGATGATTTTATACTGTTCTCTCTACATTCGTATATGTGAAATTTTCTAAAACAAAGTTTGTTTACACCATTAGTTATCAATAACTAAAAAATATGAATACAAAGTCCAAATTATTTCGGATGTTTTCAATTTTCACATATTCTCTGATTTAGCATTCCAAAGGATCTGCAGAGGAAATAAAGTTCTAGAAACATTTTCTATGCTCAGACTACTGAATAACCAACATCCTTCTAATATATCCTTTGGAGGGTTTATTGTGATCCCTTTTTTCAAACATTTCTTTGAAATACCATTTTATTATTTCCAGAGAAAACCTTTGAGAAAAGAGAAGTGAAACCAAACAAATAATCATTTCACATGATCAATTTACGTTCAAAGATTTCCGAAGATGAGATCAAAATACAATTGCATATGACATTTGATGACAATGTAAAATACTTGTTTAGAATGCAAAATGAAATCAGAATGAACAATGGTAGGCAAATAGGGGACACAGTTACAGAAAGTTTGCTCTGGAGAGCTATGCTACTGGGTATCCCTCTACTAGCTCTGTGTTTGTGGGTAAGTCACCCTTTCTGAGCTTTCAGTTCCCTATTCTTAATTTGGAAATAGTGCAATTTCCTTCAAAAGGTTATAGGGAAGATGAGATTGTGCCTGTTATACAGCCAGCACTCAGCAAATGTTTACGGCTTTCAATTATTATTATTTTAATTATTGAAATATTAAGATAACCGAAAAGACAAAATGTTTAGATCAAAAAGGTATCAGTCGCTGCTTCTGAATTGTGACCAATGGGTGGTATCCTTTTCTTTTCCAATTTTTCATCTGGACTTTTCCAATTTATACAGTGTTACATTAAAGGAAAGGGTTTTTGTTTATTTGGTGAGGGGAGGAGACAACATTCAGTGGTGCTCAGAGTCTACTCTTGGCTCTTCACTCAGGGAACATTCACTCCTGGTGGGGCTCAGGGAATCATACAGGGTGCAGGGGATCAAACCCTGGTTGGCTGCATGCAAGACAAGTGCCTTACCCTCTATACCATCTATTCAGTCTTAAAGTTTTTTTTAATGTATATGTATATATTAATTTAAGAAGTCTTTATTGGGGAAGTTTAATGTCTAAAGGTATCTGGATCATTTTTGTTACACTTAGTATTCTGACAAACAAACTACTTCATCAGAGTAAGTGGAATGATAACTAATATATATATTCACATTTCCCCCCACCACTTTCTCCAGAGTGTACTATCTTTGTAAATGCCCAGGAACTCTCAATGGTGGAGTTCCTGGTGTAGGCTAGAGTCTTCCGTTGTCCCTGTTTCATGCCATGAACCTTCCTTACATTCCTCCACACCAGTTATTCTGCACTTTTGGGACATGGGTCCCTTTGAGAATATCACAAATGCTATCACAAAAAAGTCACATTCAGACACACTAGTTCACATTCAACCTCTTAGGGCTCATAGTTCCTCCTGCAGTCCATTTTCACTGATTAGGGACACCTAAACCATGACACTAAATTTAGAAATTTAAAACACACATCATAGTTTGAGGAAAAGTGGATATGTACAAATCAGAAACCTTAATAAGTGAGATAAACTGGTGGGTAATTATCACGTATGAAGTTTTTTCACTCTCAAAGAATTGATACTAGATTATAAATAAAATTTGGTGTGTTCATACCCTAACACTCATGCCCAACTGCTAAGTTTATTTTGGAACACACCCTCTGTAGAGGAACAGGTCCAACTGCTAAAGTTTAATACCGGTTTCACTCTTGAGTTTAGCTGCATCCATTTACAGTGTCCAAGCTCACCTCTAAAATGGGCATCACCCCATAGCATTTAGGCGACTGATGGTCAATGAAGGACAACAATAAGCTATCAGAAATGTGTGTTTCAAGAGAAGGTGGCACTTATGTGTTGTTGGTGAGCTGCCTTTTGCATGTGAATCATCCTCGGTGAGATGGATCTCATATTAGGAAGGAAAAGGATACAGTGATGGAGTCTGAGTTCCACAGAACTAGTATGTTCCCAATTCACTCACAATAACTGGGAAAGGTGGGTGTTTGGGTACCCATTTCTAATGGGGAATGTGGATCAGACATATGTCAGAAATCAATTAAAATTATTTTTAAACTACATTTTTTTTTTGACTGCTCACTTCCAAGCTGGGAAAATGGCTCAGCATCAATTTAACTGGCTATCATTTCACTGAAGATTTTGAGTCTACTGGCTTATCAATGACATTTTGGGATGTGTATGAAGACGGCCAGGCACCAGGACTTTCTTTACCATCTGACATGTCCTCTACATTGGCATTCTCTCTTCTCTTTACCCCTAACATGGGACGCCCACATTCCAAAGGTGTGCTGCTGCTGGTTGTGGTGGTAGTGGTGGTGGTGGTGTGCGTGTGCGTGTGTGTTTGTGCACTTGCATGCGCTCCCCAAAAGATTTGCATGATGGACCAGGAAAGTCTTGCACTCAAACTAAAGAAAAGAAAGAAAGAGAGAGAGAGAAAGAAAGAAAGAAAGAAAGAAAGAAAGAAAAAGAAAGAAGGAGGAAGTGGAGAACAAGGAAGAGGAGGAGGTGAAGAAGGAGGAGGAGGAGGAGGAGGAGGAGAAGAAGAAGAAGAAGAAGAAGAAGAAGAAGAAGAAGAAGAAGAAGAAGAAGAAGAAGAAGAAGAAGAAGAAGAAGAAGAAGAAAAGTAAGGAAGAAGGAAAGAAAGAGGAAGACCGAATGAAGATAAAAATGCAAAGAAAGAAAAGACAGAAGGAATGAAAAGATAAAAGCTAAGGAAGAAAGAATCCCTACAACTCCAAACTCCAAACTCCATCTTACGATTTCCACTTGGGGCTATGATGCCATTTGGCACCTTCTCTGCTAGCAGCGGCATTTCACTTGATCCTATTCCAGGATTTCCAAACATGTGCCTGGCCCCCAGGAGAGTTTCAAAGGACGTCTAAACAGTGACAGGAGCGCTGTTGGCCGGCTGGGTTTAGCGTTTGTTCAAGGAGCTCTCACAAAAGCAAGTGCAAGTTCCTCGAGCATTAAGTTCCCAAGAACACCAACTTTGCGGCGGACGCAGCGCTTATTTCCCTTTGCCACTTGCTCAGTTTTCTGCCAGGAGCTGTCTCTAAGAAGTTGGGGCGGACCCTGCTAGCCCCCCAGGGTCTCTGAAGTCCCGGTGGGGAGGGCGGGGTACAGACCACCCTGTGCTGGCGCTCAAAAGCTCGGTTCCTCTGGGGAAGAACCACTGGGCGGTCTCCCAGCTTCTGATGCCTCCTCCTACCTGCACGCGCGCGTCGGGCACCTGCAGGTTCAAAGCCCAGTTACCTCCTCGGCCTCCAGCAGCCCCCCTCCACCCCCACCCAGGACAGCGATCTGGAAGCCCCCGAGAGAGTGAGTGAGGACCGCGTGTGCTAGCAGGGAGAAGAGATGCCCAGCGTAGGGTCGGGACTGCCGTGGACCTGGGAGAGGCTGGGTCCACGGACTCCCAGCATCCCGGCCCGACTTGCCTGTCTCCCAGGGAGGTGCCAGCCCACGCGCCCGGGTCCAACTCGGCCCGGCTCGGCGTAGCCGCCTGTCCCAGCGCGGGTCGGGGCGGGGAACAAAGGTGGCAGGCCCGGAGGGGACCCCCCCCCCCCCAGCCCCCCTACTCCCGGCCACGGCGCGCGGTACCTTGGATTCCTGGCTGCCGCTCGACGCGGGCGACGGGGGCAGTTCGGCGCTCGCCGCTTCCCCGGGCAGCCCGTCCCCGCCGTCCTCGCGGGCGCCGCCGGGCGGGATCATCGTGGCGGCGCGGGAACGGTGTTGCGCCCGGGCAGGAACCGCGCGGCTCGCGCTCAGCTCCGGCGGCCGGGGATGCCCATGGTCGCAGCCGCCGCTCCGGCCTCCGCCCCGCCCACCTCCCCGGGGAGAGCGCGCCCCGCCTCGGTCGTGACTGCCCCCGGCAGCGGGCGGCCGAGTGGGCTCGGGCTCGGCTGCCGGGAACCCGGAGGCTGGAGGCGGCCCCGGGGCGGGGCTGCGCGGCGGGCGGCGAGGGCAGGCGGGGGACCCGGCCCCGGAGCCGCGCCGCCACCGGGCCGCTGAAGCCAGTGGACACTCACTCCGGGGAGCCCGGGCGGGAGTCAGTCCAGAAGGATCCTCCTCCCCGCAATGACTCCCCACACCCTCCAAAGAACGGCCACTTGGACGGAGAAGGTGACTTAGCTAAGTTACTTATCTGGCTCAGGAAAGAGGGCACCCCCACACCCCTCCAAAGAACAGCCCCCTCTAAAGGAGATGGTGACTTAGCCAAGTTATCTATCTGGTTAAGGAAAGAGGGGACCAACCCAGGGCGCTTGGCTGGAGGGCATCAGCTTTCCTCCATTCATCTTTGGACTGAAGTGGAAACATAAGGCTGTGTGTGTGTGTGTGTGTGTGTGTGTGTGTGTGTGTGTGTGTGGTGTGCATCTATTCATTTGAGGGCATATATGTTAAGTAAGCCCCTTAAACATAAAATTTAAAAACCTATTTCAAGTTCACTCGCTGCCACTCTGACGCTGAGTTGGGTCCTATCACTCCCATTTCAGAAATGAGAAAACTGAGATTTTAGAGAGACATTAATTCATTAATGCATTAACTCGCGAGTAAGAAACAGTTTACAATAAATCGTGTGCAAAGAATTCCAATCTTGCACTGGAATACAGTAGGGCTTCAGAATCCATGGTTTGGAGAATGGAGCCACACATGGACCAAGTCTTCAGAGATGAAGAGCTTGGAGGTGTTGGAGTGGAACAAAGTATACAGGACTATTCACGGAGGGAAAACTCAGTCTGTTGGGTCATTTGGAAACACAGGGAGAAGCCCAATGAGTTCCCTATGGCTGGAGCATTCAGTATTTTCCCAGGGTACAATCTCAGTGTCCAGAGAAAGGAAGACCATCTGGGTATGAAACTCTGCTCCCTTTCTTTTGGTTATGAGTGTAAAACCTCCCCCTTGGTTTCTAGCAGGAAGTTGTTATCTTGGGTTCAGATTGTCTTGTAGCACTGTAGCACTGTCCTCCCGTTGTTCATTGATTTTGCTCCAGCGGGCACCAGTAATGTCTCCATTGTGAGATTTGTTACTGTTTTTGGCATATCGAATTCGACACGGGAGCTTGCCAGGCTCTGCTGTGCAGGCGAGGTACTCTCTGTAGCTTGCCAGGCTTTCCGAAAGGGGCGGAGGAATCCAACCCAAGTTGACCTTGTGCAAGGCAAACGCCCTACCCGCTGTGCTATCTCTCCAGCTCCAGATTGTCTTGATTAACTAGAAATGTTTGCAAGGCCAGTTTCATAGCTGTGCAATCTGTCTGGATTATGGGGTGCTTCACTAAAAAGGATGCTTTTTCATTTTGTGTTCAACCCTGAGAAGTATGTCTCTGGTCTTGCAGATTTGCTCTAGCTGCAGCCCTTGAGGAAGAACCTATTACTCTTCTACTCTGGACTCACTTGAAAGCTTCTGTCCCTTCTGCCAGCTTCTTCCTAGGCCTTTTGACTCTAACTGCCCTGTACCCTCTGCCTCTCATTTGACCAGCCCAGACTGGTTTACCCAAATGGCCATTCTTTTCTTGATTAAAAGATAATTCCTGACTCTTCAATAGAGACCCACTTCTATACCACTGAGTCACCACAGTAAGAATGAGAACACACAATGACAGACTCAGCAGTAATGTTTATCCAGCATCTATTCTGCACCAGATATTGTGCTAGACACTAATGATACAGCAGAGAGAAAACATAGATTAAGTCTGTTCTGCAATTTAGCGCCTGATGAGAGAGACAAACATACACATACACACTTTCCATAAGCTGTGATAAGGAAATATGCAGGACTTTCAATAAGTACATAAAATTCAAGGCCTTTGGAGTCTGGTAAAATTTTTCTGAAGACGTGGCACTTTCCCTGGAGTGAAACCTCCTAGGTTTATGGGTAATTTCAATTTGGGGGACTGATCCAAGTCATGTGCTGTACACAGATTCTCAAAAGCTACTCAAGTTACAGTCAGAGGTGTTTGAACTGGAGGCCATGTGGTTCTGGGGGTAAAACTTGGGGCCTAACACATGCTACACCTAAGTGCTACCACTTGAGCTGTGGAGATATCTCATTTATATATTTTTAAGAATTGAAGAGAGACTATTAAAGTCATTACCCAAGACATGCTTCAATGTTGTCCTCCGGGATGGTGGTGGTACATTTCAAAGAAGTTAGTACATCTTACTTACCCCACTCTGCTCTAGTCACAGAAATCCTGAGTTGGGTAAATAGTACGTACATCTACTAGAAACCTGTGGGGTTTCCTAAAATTTCCAAAACAAGCCAAGACTTCAGGCATGTGTTTCTTTCACATAAACCTATTTGTATTCTACTCTTTCTCATTTTTGTTAGAGAGCTCCCAAGCAGTGCTCAGGGAAACTGGGGCTCACTTTCAGCAACACTGGGCTTGGCTGTGTGGGCTTGATAGTTCAGGGTTCTGCCTGCAATTCCCAGGCCTGGAAGTACCAGGGACCACAAGGGCCACACCCGAGAAAGCTTAGGGCTGATCTCATTCATTTATATGACCTAGGTAGCTGTTTTTCTTTTTCTTTTCCCAAACATATCTTTATCTTGAAAACTCCTAGAAATTTCCTTCATGGCTATTTTTAGTTTGATTCAGATTCTGAGACCAATGTCTTGAAAGAATGTTCTCATGGCATTCTTTCCTAAGTAACTGTGATGACATTGCATGATTTTCTACTAGGCTCTGAATTCTACCAGGATAGGAACTATGTCAAGTCTATCTTGATTTCTCAACCCCTGGTTAACAAGAGGATGCAGGCACCTTGCTCTTGGTGTCCCCTGATATTAAAGATCCATATAGAGAGGAACTGTTTAGTCTTGGTACTTCACTTTCTCTCTTTCACACACAACACACACACACACACACACACACACACAGTGAGTGTAGAAAGACCCTGAATGCTATTTGAAAACAGTGGGACAGTGGGGATTAGAATCAAACAAGCTTCTTGATAGTAAGGACTTTGATTTTTTTTTTTTTTTTTGGTTTTGAGATCATAAACAGCAGTTCTCAGAGCTTACTTCTGACTTTGTGCTTAGGGATTACTGCTGGTGAAGCTTGGTGAACTACAAGGGATGCTGGGGATTCAACCATGGTCAGCCCCATGCAAGACAAAAACTGTACCCACTGTACTATCTCTCCAGCCCGGATACTAAAGACTTTATCTTTATTGTCTTACCAGACGATCTTAAAGTAAAAGCCATGACTGTTTATTGTGGGTTCATCCATTTACATGGGAGAAAGAAGTCTGCCAAAAGAAATCTAGGTTAATCCCTCATCTGAGAACAGGAGTGGAGATGCACAAAGTGGTATGTCATCTTTGGGGGAAAGGGTGCTGGCAGGATTGGATGGTACTAGATTTGTGTAGAAAGTCCTGAGACTGGAAATCGTGGGCTTTGTTCCTTTGAGATTTAGATTATCATTCCTTATTCTAAGATCTGATGTGATAAAAGTCCTCCCACATTATCATGAAAGCTACCCCTGATTTGGAACTGAGGGGACATTGATTTATTGATTGATAGTGATGCCCAGAGAACCACAGAAATGATAGATTTTCTCCATATACTGGAGGTCAGTGGACAGGACACCAGCAAAGTCAATCCTAGAGGATACCCCCCAAAATAATGACTTCCCTGAGCAGATGGGTACTTTTTCATGGTCCCATATGAAATAGACCCTCTGGACTCTCATTAGAATGAGACTCCACAGAAGATTAAAGATTCTACATTAGAAGCTATAGGGATATTTTAAATATGGTTGACAAAATAACTCATTTTTGCAAATTATTATTAAGTCCATAACAGGCCACTGTGATTTTTGTAGATTTCCTTCTTGGTCTTTTGTGCTCATGTTGCTAGTTAAATATCAAGCAAGCAGAACTGTGAAGTGTGCAGAACCATATCTACACAAAGTTGATCTGCAAACTCCAGCTTCTGCATTTTTTACGTATTCATAATTTGTCAAGAGTACAAGTGCTCCTCTTAATCATCTACAACCACATTTTTCAGTAATGGTAATGAGCAGAAGAACATGTAATGCTTCAAACTTCCTCTTACTTCTCTGCTCCAAGTTTGGATGAAGAAACTTGATTTTCATGCTATGAACTTTGGCTTCTTAAAGTCAGTTGGTAAAAAGATATTACCAATACTACTTTAAGTAAAACTGCCATACTTATGGAGGATAAAAGTAAGATCATCAAGAAAAGAGAACAGGGAAGCTATTCAGTAAGTCCAAATGGATGATCATATGACAAATTTATAGGTGAAAAGGTATCAATAAAAGGATCTTTCCCAATGCCCAATGTATCAAGATTATCATGGTCAATGAGAAAAACAAAGATGTGAGAATTAAATTAATGACTAAAATAGCTAACATGTATTAAGTTTCCAAGTTTTATACATTTTTGCATTTGTTATTTTACTGATTTTGTTATAATACAAAACATTAGCAAGACCATGAAAATATTCTAAATTGATATGCCAGACACAGTAACAACAAAGTCTCCAACGGAGACGTTACTGGGCCCGCTCGAGCAAATCGACGATCAACGGGAGGGCCTTTACCTTTACCTTTCACAGGAGTGTGTGAACAAGGACTTGAACTCAGTTACATCCTCATTCTAGACCATGTTTTGGTCACTCTACATTGTTGACCCCTAGACAATGCCAGAGCCCAGATCTGGTAAAGAGACAACACCCTTAAAAGGAAAAAGTAAGATAAATTGAAAGAATATAGGTAAGGAGTTAATAAAGGGATGGAGAGTTACCCATTCATTGTTTTATTTTAAAAGAAAAATGATGGCAGTTCTGCTTTTGAAGGATACATCCAAGGATCCAAGAGAAAGCAGGCAGGAGGGGACCAGTCCCTGACAAG